CTTACAAAATTTAGGATTTATTGGTGGTGCTATGCTATACTAATGGCACGTTACTTCCTAAGTCACTGTCACTGGGATGGAAGCTGGGATTAAGGTTTTTAACCTATAAATTGTGTGTAAATTCTCTCCATAAGACATAGCATACCTCAGATGTTAGTCTGAGAGTGCCTCTTTGTAAAAGGTCTTTCTTAGTCACCCTCTCTGCAGTTAGGTACCTTGATCTCCTCAGGTTTCTCTATTGATAGAATACTATGCGTTTCCATTGGGCTGGGAAGGTGGCTCAGTGGTTAAGGTGCTTGCCTTGCATGCCTGAGGCCCTGAGTTCGATTCCTCAACACCACATAAGCAAAAACAAAAAAGCCGGAAGCGGCGCTGTGGCTCAAGTGGTAGAACACTAGCTTTCAGCTGAAGAGTTGAGGGACAGCACCCAGGCCCAGAGTTCAGGCCCCACGACCGGACCCAAAAAAAAAAAAGAATACTATGCGTTTCCTGCCCACCGTTTATTATACTTTGTAATTGCTTGTTGCCTTATGTATTGTTTTTCCTTGCATTATAATATACCTTCCATGTAACCAATTAGTGCATTTGTTTACTGTTTTGTGCTTAGCACTTGAAAAGTCCCTTGTATATGATGAGCATGTCCTAAGTCTTATGTACTATAATGGTAAAGATGTAAACTCTTAAGGGAGATAAATTATTCCACAGAACCTGGGAAAGAAGTTCTTAATGTATATATTTTTAAAGAGATTGTGGAAAAATCAAACTAGTGTAATCAACTCCCATGTACCAATGACTGAGCTTCAACTAATTTCGCTAGTCATGGGTCATCTTTCTCTTTTGTTACAGAACATCTTGCTGGCCTTGAACTCACAATTCTCTTGCACACCTGTAACCCCAGTAATAGGCATTATTATGTCCAACTTTAAAAGATATTCAACCAGTCATTATGCTTAGAGTTCCTTAGCTTCAAATTTTTCCTGATTACCTCACATATACTTTGTTTTGAACCTTCATTATGCCTGTCAGACATTCCTGTCTAGATTTGAGATCTTTCTCATGGTGTAATTTGTTTTTCCATCCCATATATTTCTTATAGCCTGGTACTTAAGACCTAAGTAAAAGAATAATCCATGAAGCTATTAAGTAGTAGACTCATATTTCATCTTGAACAATCTGACTTCAGTTTTAGGCCTGGCCTTCCACTTATATAGGCCTCATAACCAGTCATCTATACTATCTTATGGAATTATATAGGTAGAAAACCAGAAGAGGGGAAACACCTTTCCAATAGAGAAGTTAGCATTTATAAAGATGTAGAAAAACATACTGTACCCGAAAAATAGTGAAGGATTATAGCTTAGAACGTAGAGAATTTGAGGAGGAAAGTAGTGGGAAGTGAATCTGAAGAACAGATGAGGCAGATAGTTGCCCCCATGTTCCATTAAGGTGACCCAGAAAGGTGATTATAGGAGGGAGACAAAGTTCAGTTATGTGACACGAAGGGTGTGCAGCTGACTGGAAATTGGAAAACAAGAACAGATTCTTCCCTGTTTTCTAGAAGGAACTCAGCATTGCTACCAACTATGATTTTAACCTAAGTCCTGAAATAGGAATTCTGACTTAAGGAACTATAAGGTAGTACATTGTATTTTAAGTTCCTGAATTTGTAGTAGTTTGTTAAAACAGTAGTAAGAAACTAATACAATGGATTGGGCCAACCTGAGAAAGGTTTCTTGGGCTCCTTTCTTTCTTTCTTTCTTTCTTTTTTTTTTTTAGGTCATGGGGCTTGAACTCTGGGCTTGAGCACTATCCCTCAGCTCTTCAGTTCAAGGCAAGCGCTCTATCGCTTGAGCCACAGTGCCATTTCGGTTTTTTTTTTTTTCTAGTGGTTTATTGGAGATAAGAGTCTCATGGATTTTCCTGCCTGGGCTGGCTCTGAACCACGATCCTCAGATCTCAGCCTTTTGAGTAGCTGGGATTACAGGCGTAAGCCACTGGCACCCGACTCTTGGGCTCCTTTCTAAGAAGTTTGTTCACTGATTAATGTGAGCCATGTAATATTGAATATGATAAGGGTAACTAAGAGAAATGTGGAGGATGGACAGGAAGAAACTGTAAGGAAGTTACGAAGTTGAAGGCATGTCAAAACATGAGATCATGTCAAGTGCCAGTGGCTCATGCCTGTAATCCTAGCTACTCAGGAAGCTGAGATCTGAGGATCACAGTTCAAAGCCAGCCCAGGTTGGAAAGTCCATGAGACTTTTATCTCCAATTAACCACCAGAAAACCAGAAGTGGTGCCATGGATCAAGTGGTAGAGCACTCACTTTGAACTGAAGAGCTCAGGGACAGCTCCCAGGCTCAGAGTTCAGGCTCCACGACTGATCAAAAAGCAAAAACAACAACAACAACAGAACATGAGATCATGCCTATAATCCTAGCTATTCAGGAGGCTACTATCTGATGAAATACTAGGTTTGAGGCCAGCCTGGGCAGAAAAGTTTGCTAAACTCCATCTTCAAAATAACCAGCAAAACGCAGAGCTGGAAGTACACTCAAGTGATTGAGCCAGGGCTTCCATGGTGCTAGGCTCATGCTCTAATAAAGTCATACTGAAAGTTTCCAGTATGATGGCAAGATTGACTAAAAGGACTGACAAAAATTTCACTGGGAACATGGCTTAGTAATAGAGTGCTTGCCTAGCATGCATGAAGCCCTGGGTTCCATTCCTCAGTACCACATAAACAGAAAAAGCTGGAAGTGATGCTGTGACTCAAGAAGTAGAGTGCTAGCCTTGAGCAAAAGAAGCTCAGGGACAGTGCCTGGCCCTGAGTTCAAGCCCAAGACTGGCAAAAAAATTCAGCAATGAACAGGAATTAGATTTCTCAGCTTTGTGTTTTTGTTGTTGTTGTCATTGTTGTTGTTGCAGTGCTAGAGTTTTGTTTTGTTTTTTCCAATTGTGGGGCTTGAACTCTGGGCCTGAGCGCTGTCCCTCAGCTCTTCAGCTCAAGGCTAGCGCTCTACCACTTGAACCACAGTGCCACTTCCGGTTTTCTAAGTGGTTTATTGGAGATAAGAGTCTCAAGGGCTTTCTTGCTGGGGCTGGATTTGAACCATGATCCTCAGATCTTAGCCTCCTGACTAGCCCAGATTACAGCCTCCAGCACCCAGCACAGTGCTAGAGATTTAACTCAGTGCCTCATACTACTGAGCAACATCCCCAGTCTCTCTGCTACTTTATTTTTATAATGGCTCTCACAGGAAGTTTAGGTTTGGATTGGTATTTACCTAATGAAAGAATACTGGTCCTTTCTAAGCTAAGAGTAGAGCATGCCCAAGAATTACAATTCATCATTCATCTGGAACTTTGCTATCAGCAGAGCACTAATGACAGTGACAATTAATGACATTAAAAGTTTAGTGCACAATGGCAAAAGTAGTCCTGGTTGGCTGCTACTGTCTTGTGGGAGAGCCTTACACTTGAGGATAACATTGATTCTGCTTACCCAAATAATAATGCTAGCTATCTAGAATGCACTTTAAAATTTGCATCAACATTTTTCCCTTGTGGTTTGTGAGCCTCCACATCAAGCATCTATAGTGGGCCGAGTGAATAAAAAGTTCAGCTGTGAAACATTAACTAAAATTTTTAATCAAAACAATATAATTTATTTTATTTTTAGTTTCCTTGCAGAGCTGAGGATTAAACTCAAGGCCTAAGCAAGTGTTCTATCACTTGAGCTATAACCTCAGCCCCTGAGATAAAATTTTTGAATACTAAGCATTCTTTTTTTGGTCAGTCATAGGGCTTGAACTCTGGGCCTAGCACTGTCCCTCAGCTCTTCAGCTCAAGTCTAGTGCTGTACAACTTGAGCCACAGCGCCACTTCTGGTTTTCTGGTGGTTTATTGGCAATAAGGGTCTCACGGACTTTCTTGCCTGGGCTAGCTTTGAACTGTGATCTTCAGATCTCAGCTTCCTTAATAGCTAGGATTACAGGCGTGAGCCACCAGCACCCGGCCCAATTTTTTTTAAATAAGCATACATTAATTGTGAAAGGAGGAGGGTTCATTGTGACATTTCCATGTGTGTGTATACACATACCTGGAGGAAACTAATCCAGTCTGTCACTCTCCCACGTTTAACAGGTTTGTTTCTTTTTTTGAAATTTTTTTAAGTAATTGTACAAAAGGGTTATACAATTAAGTCAGGTTGGATGGTTGGAGAGAAGAAACAGAACTTGAGGGGAAAAGGGCAAAAAAGTACAGCAGTGGAACTCGCTGGCCACTGATGAAAGTGAACTGTACAACTCCTGGGTGGAGACGGGAGGGATGGGGAGATAGTGAAGGAACAGAAGACACTGTACAAAATGTACTTATTACCTGACACATGTAATTGTAATCCCTCTTTACATCACCTCTGTTATAACAAAGTAAATTAATTAAAACAAATTAGGTTATAAGAACAGTGCTTCTTGGTCACTGTCATTCCTTCCTTCATTTTCCCCCGATTTCTCCCTCCTGTCCCTAACCTCAAGTTAATTAGTTCAGTTTTACTTAATGTACATTGACTTCTGAGTTTGATGTAATCCCATTTGTCAAGTGTATTTGCTGTGCCTCTCTTCAGAAAGTTCCTGCTTATGCCAATGAATTATTATTATTTCTCCTCCATCTTGTAGTAGTTCTAAAGTAAGTTTCAAAGTTTCAGGTCTAACTTTGAGGTCTTTGATCTATTTTTTTTTTTTTGGTCCGGTC